AGATTAGATTAGATTAGAATCTGAACAGCTTTAGGGCTGAGGTTGATGACATTTCACGAGAAAACGAGAACTCACAAGTACACATAGTGAGAAACAGGCGCAGACTGGAGCTTTAAGGCAGTAAATGTTTGTTTTTTTCATGCAGCTGCTGATCCACTCAGAGATGATGCAGATTTCCTTAAAGATGTAACCGTGGGGCTCATCTGCAGATCTGCTTTAGGCCAGACTCCTTGTCTCTCTCTGTTTGGTATCCACGGTTACAGGGTTCAGTGTTTCTGGGTTTCTGTTGTTTCCAGAACAGGAAACTCCTTCCTGATTGCAGCCTTTCAGTAAAACTGTGTAATCTGCCTCAGAGAACGGGACGCAGTCAGGCCTCAACATGTCTTCCTGATAATTATCAGCCACCTCCAGCATTCACTGTTACAGTAACTCTTCAGAGAAAAGCCTGATGGGAATCTCCAGCACTGGTTCTGAAAGGGACAGAATTCCCTTAAACGTCTGCTGTGCTTCAGATCCTGATCTTATTCTTTGGCCTTTTAGGATCGACTGTCCAGGATGACTGGCGATCGTCGTCAGCGTGTCTGAGGTGAATAACGTGTTGCGTTTTCGTGCAGGAGCTGTACTCGTGTGCGGTGAAGGAGCTGACTCGGTACCCCGAGCTGGTGGAGGACGTCCTCAAGCTCCAGCGATGGACCGAGATCCTGCACTGCCCGTAAGAACCAGACTCAGAGCGGCTGCAGTGGGAACACATGGGAACAGTTCGTATTTATCAAGCCTCTGTGCTGGTTTCTCTTTCATTTTGGTACGTCTGTGTCTCGCAGCTCCGATGAGGAGAAGGAGAGCAGGAAGAAGCAGGTCCGTCCACTCTTCAGACACTTCAGACGTATCGATGCGTGTCTGCAGCCCCGCGAGGCCTTCAGAGGCTCAGACGAAAGTACGACGCCCACAGATACCTGCACACACACTGCTGCGCTCTGATCTGTAAACACACACAATCCAAATGCAAACACAGCTGCAATCTGCGGTTGGGATAAACAAATCAGGAACAGACACACCCTGAGCAAACGCACATCTGAGGTTTGGATTTTTAACTTCAAACACAAAGAACAACCCAACTGTTTAACTTTTTCAGACTTTCTGCTGCAAAACAGGCAGCAGTTTGACAGACCACCAGTAGATGGAGCTAGAGCATCCATGAGGACGGATTTCTGGATATTCTATTCAGTTTATTTCTATAGCTCCAATTCACATCATGTCATCTCAGGTCACTTTCCAGTTCACCAGATCATCCAGTCAGATTG